TTGAGGGGGCACAGAGTTGGGGGTCCGAGCGGAGGAGGTTCCGAGCGGAGGGGGTCGGGGGAGGGGCCTCCCAGAGGGGGTCCGAGCGGAGGGGGTCGGCGGAGCCCGCCGCAGCGCCGAGGCATCGGGGATGCGGCTTGGTGTGGGGATCGTGTTTCCCTACGCCGGCGACGGCGCCGATGCGTCACCGACGTCTCTGATGCATTGCCGATGCATCGATGGTGCATCGGCGATGCGGTGCGGTCTTCTTGCCCCATCTACTCTGACCCCACTCTGAAGTCCAATAATAGTTTTGCTCATGCCGAAAAGGATTCGCTGTCGGCGTCGCCGCAGTCGTTGTCCATTTGAGGCACAAGTTCGCCTGTCCAATAGCGGCCGCCGTCGATTTTGGGCAGCATTTGTTGTTTGGCATCGTACCCATTCTTGTCCGTACCCATTTCGGGTGTCCAATTGACTCGAGGAAGAAGACGAAGCAACAATAATACTAGTAATAATAATAAGAATAACATGATGGCATACATTGTCAAGTCGCATAGTAGGGATTATGTTTTTTCCGATGCTACCTTTGCATCCTGCTCCTTCAGCCCATGCTTGGCGACTTTCGCTGACTTTTGCTTTCGAAAACGCCAACATGACCTTCAACGGCCCTTGCACTCTTACCGTGCATCCGTATTGTACGCCTCGACGGCACATAGACTTTCGACAGTCCGCGAGGATTTCTCGGATCCGCGCTGGACCCCCTGGCGGCTCCTCCGACGTCGCCCGTGGCGCGCCCCGCGCGCTGGAGAGGGCAGATCCAATGTAGTGCTTTCATTCTCTGCCGCCGCCTTCCTCTGAGATCCTGGCATCGCGACTTTGTCGAGCCGGGCGTTTTCGCCGAGTTGCGGGCCCTGGGATCCTCACATATAGATGTGGCTCGAAAATTGGTGGAGTCAGAGAGGGGCGTGATTTCTCGCTTTGTTTCAAATTTTCGCACCGTCGAATCTCAGGGTCGTCGTCGTCGTCCTCGTCCTCGTCGTTCTCGTCCTCGTTCTCGTTCTCGCCGTCCTCGACGGTCGTCGTCCTGGACGGTCGTCGTTCGTCGTTCGTCGCTCGCCGTCCTTGATGGTTCTCGTCATCGTCGTCGTCGGGCCCAGGGAGGGGGGCGGGGCGAAAGGAGGCCCAGAGGGACTGAGTGAACAGCGATGGGGGTTCCGGTAGGGCTCGGTGGGGCTCAGGAGTGGTTCGGGGCGCACCAAGGGTTTCGGCCTCGGGGGAGCTCGGGGGTGGGGGGCACCGAGTCGTCACGTCTTGCGTGCAGGACTTCGCACGAGGCTCGCGCCGCCGCCGCCGTCGCCGCCGTCGTCCATCGCCCGTTTTCCGCAGCCTCGGCGCAGCCGCCGTTGCTCTAAGAGTCTCAGCTCGTGCGCCCTCGGCTCCTGGTCGTGGAATGCCGCGGTCGGAGTGCTCGACGCGGCCGGCTCGAGCCGCTTGGCACGCCGTCGCCGGGGGTTGCACGGCCTGCCGCCCGCGTGGCGATGTCGAGCGCCTCGGGGCTGGCACGGAGCAGCCGCCGAGCAGCCACGCGCAGAGGGGGGTGCAGTGAGGGCCCATGACAAGAAACACCCTGCGTTTCGTCACGGTTCCCTGGATGTCTTTGGCTGGCGTTCGGCGCGGAAGGTCGCCGCAGTCTCGAAACAAAGTTGTAAATGCCAGGGCACCCTGGGTGTCTCGGGCATCGGTCAGTTTCGGGGCGCGCGCCAGAACCTCCGAGACCCGAAGCTCGCATTTTCGATCGTCTTGGGTTTCTTGATGTCAAACTGCTTGGCGCCAGCAATCAAGACACCGGTCGGGCCAGGGTGCCCTGGGCTTCTTCGTTTTCAGCCGAAGCGCACGAAACCCGACCCTGGACTAAGAAACCTCGGCGGATTTCAGGGTCGGGTATCTTACGGTGGGTTTCTTGTGGATCGGCCCCCACCGGTAGGGGGGGGGGAAGGCTTCTCAGAAGGAGGCTGCTCCTTAGAAGGCGCTGGCCCTCATCTATAGATAAGGCCCATACCTTCTTATCAAGGGAGGAACAACCACCCTGGTCTGACAATTGACGTTTCCTAAACGGCCCTGGGCGTTTATTACACAGCCGTGTCCTGTTCGATTGCTTCATTGGGTGCGTTTACTTAGCGGCGTCGCTTGTCGGGTGATATTTTCGGGGTGGATGTTCTGCCCTCTATTAAAGAATCAGGGGTGCTGCAGAGAAGGCTTCCCCCATCCTTAGAGGGTTTCTCCGAAAGGCTCAGGCGACCCGTCCTCCTCCTCCTCTTCTCCTCCTCCTCCTCCTCCTCCTCCTCTCCCTCCTCCTCCTCCCCTTCCTATTCTCCTTCTCCTCCTCCTTGTTGTTGCCGTCGCTCGTGAGGCTCAGGCAGGAGGCCCGAGGATTGAAGGACAGACGGAGCCGCCAGGATGGACGACGGGTGACGCAAAGAGGCAGAGAGGGAGAGGAGGAGGAGGAGGAGGAGGAGGAGGAGGAGGAGGAGGAGGAGGAGGAGGAGGAGGAATGAGGGCAGAGCGGGAGAGGAGAGGAGGAGGAGGGGGGAGGAGGAGCGGCGGAGGCGGAGGCATGAGGCGGAAGGCGGAGGCTGAGGAGGAGGAGGAGGAGGAGGAGGAGGAGGAGGAGCAGGAGCAGGAGGAGGAGGAGGAGGAGGAGGAGGAGGAGGAGGAGGAGAAGGAGGAGGAGGAGGAGGAGGGGGGGGGAGGAGAAGCAGCGTCAGCACGTTGGCGAGGAGGGCGGGGGGATGGGCAGGAGGCTCGCTCAGCTTGCTCCCCTCGTCGGCCCGTTCCCCCTCCCCATCTCTCCTTCCTGCCCTCGCTCCTGGCCTGTGGCGCGGCGTGCTCTGCTTTGCAGCGCTGCGGCCCCAACCCCCCTCTTTCTCCCTCGCCACCCCCGCTCCCCTTCTTACTCATCGCCCGACCGCTTCGCTCCCATCCCCCCGCCCGTTCCCTCCCTCGCCCTCGCTCCTGGTCACAATTCCTTTCCCCCCCTCCCTTGCCGTCCTCCTCGTTGTCCTCCCCTCGTCCTCGCCGCCGCCGACGCCGTCCTCGTCGTTGTCGTCGATGCGGCCTCCGCCGCCGCCGTGGTCTTCGTAACGGCCGCCGCTGCTGCTGGCCCTGCCGCCGTGGCCGCCGCGCCTCCGCTCGCTGCCGCCCCCAGAGGCACCTGCCGCAGCGGACGTACGGCCCCCCCCCGGGCGTGCTGGGCGTGGCTCAGCAGCGGCGCGCGCCGGGGCAGTGGCGATCTGCCGATCGACGGAGACGCCGATCTGCGATGATGGTTGCCGGTCGACGGCGGTCAGCGGTGGTGGCCGACGCCGACGCCCATCGACGACAGCGGACCAGGGGCGGTGGGCGACGGACGACTGCGACGAGCGGCGGACGGCGGTTGCCGCCGCGGGCGACGGCAAAGGCGATGGACGATGCACGATGGACAGCGGCGACCGCGACCTCGACAGCGACGGCGGCGGTGGAAACGGCGGCGGCCGTGGCGGCGACGACGACTGGCACAGATGAAACGGATGATGACGACCGCGACGATCACGACGACGACGACGACGACGACGATCACGACGACGAAGACGAAGAAAATGACGGCGGTGGCAGCGGAGGCGGCGGCGACAGTGACGACGAGTGTGGGAGGATTCTCACGGCGAGAATTGGGGTGCAGGAGGGAGGTGGAGGCCAGGGAGGAGGCGGGAAGATGAGAGAGCGGGGGAAGGAAGCGGAGAGGAATGACGACCTCTTCGTCCTCCGCGTCCCCATTTATCCTCTAAGTCCTCTTCCTCCCCGAAAAGGCCAGGAGGCAGTGGCAGTGGCATTGGCGAGTGTTGTGGCGGCAGTGGCAGTGCCGAAACGCGCCCATAGTCCATCAAGTCATGGGGATTCAAGCGATGTGATGTTTACCAAACCTCTAGGGTTGGCCCTTTCCATTTGTGTGTCCACTTCAGCCTTTGCATCGGCTTCAGTCCTGGGTGAACCACGAAGCGCATTGTGGCCAGCTCGCCGTTCCGCTGCACGCTGCCTGCCGCTGTCGCTGTGCCGCGACTCCGCCGTCGACCTTCTTTGTCCTCCTCCCGTCTGCTCGTCCTCCTTGTCGAGTCTCGCGCAGGCCTGACTCTTGTTGGTGCGGCTTCCCCCGTACCCCTGCTCCTCCGAAGAAGCACCCCGCGGTTGCGGATAAGAGTGAGGGGGCGGCGGGGTCGTCGGAAGTCTGCGAGGCTCTGGAAGGAGCCCGCCGCAGGCGCCGATTTTCGTCAACAAATGATACAACAAACCCGCCGCAGGCTCCGAGTTTTTCGTCAAAGCAAATGGGTGGGTCGCGGGTGGGTCGTGGGGTGGGTTGCGGGGGGGGGGTCGCGTGGGGGTCGCGGATGGGTCGGGGGTGGGTCGCAGGTGGGTCACTGGTGGGTCGCGGGCTGGGTCCAGGGTGGGTCGCGGGTGGGTTGCGGGTGGGTCGTGAGTGGGTCGAGGGCGGGTCGCGGGTTGGGTCGCGGGTGGGTTTGCGGTTGGGTCGCGGGTGAGTCGCGGGTTGGGTCACGGGTGGGTCGCGGGTGGGACGGCGACTACAACCAACCAACCAGCAAGCAGCGCACCAACAACAGCAGCAGCAACACATTTCTCTTGGTATCATGTATGTTTCGTCTCCTCACAAGGGCCCGTATGCGTCAGTCCATCCAGCAGCGAAGTCCAGGCGAAATGCCTTGATCAGGGGCTAGGATGGTGAGGACTGGAGGGCCACGGCGACGAGGGCGAGGAGAACGTTACAACCACGGCGGCGGCGGCGAAGGCGTCGACGGGGAAGACGTGGGCGGCGCCGGCGGCGGCGACGACGTAGACGGCGAAGCCCTGCGGCGATGGCAGGCACGGTGTTGCTGCTGGCGCCTGGGGGCCGCCGCTGGTGCCGCACGGGCAGGGCGGCGGCCTGGACGGCGGCCCCAACTGGGGAGCGGGTCCGAGGCCTTCGCAGGGGGGCGGCGGCCGCGATCCGATCCGAGGCCGGGGTTTGTCCATGTCCACCGCCTGGGAAGCCAATCGGGATTTGCGGGCCTCTGTTGCCCTGGTACGCCCTTGCTGAAGCGCAGCACGCCTGTACGTCTCGTGTTCAAGACGTCCGTGGCGACACGCTTCGCCCTGGCACGGCCCGTGCTGGCGCGCGTGTTGGCGAAAGCATCGCGCCAGACCCACGTTTTCAGTCTAGGCGCTGAGCTCCGTGTCAGCACGCTACGTGAAACCAAGGGCGCCCTCGAGGGCGCGAAGTTATTCGCGCTTCGCGCTTCGCGGTTCGGCTCCGATTCCTCCTCGTCCTCCTCTTCTCCCCTGGGAGGCGGCGCGAGAGGGCGAAGTTATTCGCACTTCGCGCTTCGCGCAGCGCGAAGCGCGAAGTTGGGAGCCCTTAGAAACGCATTGCGTATCGGGGCAGCTAAGATTCGGACGTTTTCGCTGGTCTTTGGCGGCTTTCCAGCCTCGGGCTGCCTTCTGCGGCTGCGCCTCGCCGAAAGCGTTCCTGCGTTGCCACACGCCGAGGGTCCTCGTGGGGTCAGCGGGTCAGCTCCCTGGACCTCGGGAGGCGGTGGATGGGGGCACGTTCTGTTCCCCCTCGGGGCCCAGATACATTAGGCGGCGCACCCGGGAGTGGAAGTCGGATGGGCCGGGCCTTCGGCTCGGAAGGCCTCTGGCCTTCTGAGAAGTTTTCTCAGCCTTCCCCAACGACGCAGAAAGTTTCTCACCTCGGGGCCCAGATACATTAGGCGGCGCACCCGGGAGTGGAAGTCGGATGGGCCGGGCCTTCGGCTCGGAAGGCCTCTGGCCTTCTGAGAAGTTTTCTCAGCCTTCCCCAACGACGCAGAAAGTTTCTCAGAAGGCGCGAGGGTTTCTGAGAAGCCCCGCCGCCTTCTGAGAAGGCCTTCTCCCTAACTTCCCCCACTCGCTCGCCGCCGATACATGTCCATGTCCACTGCCCTCTGGGGGTCCCAGGACATCGGCTCCCCAGGCGGCGGGTATGAAGGAATCGCCGCCTCGCAGACGACGACAATGACGCACGGGGGCGCCTTGGAAGACGGCGGTGGCGGCACCGGCCTGAGCCCCGCCCGCCCTCGTTCCTCCTCCCTCCTCCTCCTCCTCCCCCGCCTCCGTACTCCCTCCCTCCTCCTCCCTTCTCTTTTTCTTTCGAGGCCGCCTCCCGCCTTTTCCTCCTCCCTCGTCCGCCCTCCTCATCCTCGGTTTCCTCCTCGGTCTTGATCTTTCTCTCCTCCGTCTCGCCCTCCTGTCTAGCTCTGTTAACGTGATTGCCTGTCCAACAGTCTCGGCCGCTGCACGGCAGGATGCAGAGAAGAGCGCGCACGTGTGCTGTGCTCTGTCCGTTGCCGTGCTGGCCCAAGCTTTTCAGAGAGTGGCGACCGCATGCTTCAAAACTTTGCCACCCAGTCAGGCTGCCTCGCGGCAGGGCAATTTGCGGTTGAATGGGCTCGGCACCTCGCCAGCGTGGTGGCGGAGGCGGGCTAAGTGGCGGCGGCGGCGGACCAGTTCGGGGCACACGCACGCTCCTTCTGCTGGTCGTCAGCATCGGCGCGCTAGTGGGCTGCTGCTGCCGCTCGGTGTGCGCACTGGCGGGCAGCGCTGCCTGGCATGGCGCTGGCGCTGCGGTCCGCAGCACGCGTTCTGGTGCAATGGCGGGCGCAGGAGGATTACCAAATACGTCTTCTCCTGCGTCCTGCCGACGTCACCGAGTACGAGCGCGAGCTCAGGACTCCTCCGGCTAGTTCGACGAGTCCAGTGTGGATGGCGGCCACTCCCGACGAGGACATCTACCCGCACGAGCTCGAGGTTCCGCCTTTGCAGCACGTGCTGGTCCCGTGCGATCGGATGGGCCCGCCGCGATGGCGCGACCGAGTCGGAGGATCGGGCCGCCTGGTGGCCCGCCCGACGTGCGGCGACCAGTGGTTTCCTCCGCCCTTCGCGTTCATGGAGTTGTTCGAGTCCTGCGGCGCGGCGGCGCCGGAGGCGGAGGAGGCGTCAGCGCTGGCGTCGAAGCCCGAGGACCCGACGGCGCGGGGTGGGACAGCGACTCCTTCTGAGGGCCTCGGGCGAGGCTCGGGGAGGTTGCCCGCAGTTGGCAGCCAGCGCTGGTCCATCGCGGCTAGCAAGGACGACAGCGACGTGAATGTGCTCGCCGACTTCGAGGGCTGCGAGTGGTACGCTGTGAGCGGGGGACTGGCCCTCGCTAAGGCGGGGGGGAAGTGTTACGTAGTGAAGGCGGTGACGGAGAAGGAGGCCGAGAGCTCGATGGACGCCCGCTTGATGCCGATCTTTTACGGGCTCGACGGCGAGACGAGGCGGGTGTTCAAGATCGCGGTGCGCGGCATGACAAAGGCGGCATGGCCGGGAGGGCCAGTCAAGGGGCCGCGCACCGCGCTGTGGTGCGTCCGCTTCCTCGCTGAGCAGGACTCGCACCCGCGCGCCCGCCACTCCGAGTGGCGCGCGGAGTGCGGCCTCGGGCCCAGCAGCATCGGCGTGTCGGACCACGAGTCGGCGATGCGGGCGCTGGAGCTTGGCGCGGGCTTCGACCCGCTCAACCTGTCCGAGCTGTCGCTGGTGGAGCTCCTGGTGCGCCGCGCCCAGCTCGCGGAGTGGCGCCACCGGGAGGGGCTGCTGAAGGGCAGTGGCGACGAGTACCTGGAGGGTGAGTGCCTGTACATGGGGACTTCGGAGACGAGGGGTTCGCTGATGGTGTGCCCGACGCTCGTGGAGCACATCCAGGCGGAACTCCACGAGGAGGCGACGCTCGCGAAGGAGAAGCGGAAGCTTCGCGAGGAGAGGATGCTGTCGCGCGGCCAGGGCTCGGGCAGCGGCGGCAACAAGGCGCTGCAGGACAGGGTGGCAGCGCAGGCGGCGGAGATCGGCAAGCCCCAGGCGAAGCTGAAAAGGCCCGGGGCCGGGGGCCGATAGCTAATGCTGATCGCTCGGGAGCGGCTGCCCTGCCCTGTGCCCGCGCCCGGCCTGGACTGGGGCAGCGGGGGCTGCCGGGCGGTGCGCTCTCGAGTTCGGCAGCGTCTGCGCGCTGCACGGTGGCCCTCAGAGGCCTTGCACGCTACCAATTCATTGTACGGACATGGAGAGCCACGACAGGATCTCCAGGCTTCGTGCGCGCAGCTCGCGGGCATTGACCACGTCCGCGAGATCATCCAGGAGGCGGGGCCTCCACCTATTTCAGGGGCGGCAGCTCACGCCGAGCTGTGCTCTCACTTGCCGGGGTATGCAGAAGACACCGTGCGCCGAGCCTCCTACTCCGAGGGGCTGGTCTCCCTGCCGACCATGGGCGGCCAGTGCGTTGGCGCCGACTGCTTGACTGGTCGTGCTCTTGAGCTGTGGGTAGGATGGCAGAAGCATCTTCTACGCGAAGGGGGGCCACCTGACGGACCTCGACTTCGACCTTTCTCCGATCCGAAATTAGTGCATTGCAAGAAGACGTGCTCTCGCTTCATTGGGGGGCTGCTCGTCAGGGGCCTGATCGACCTCGGCGAGCGGACCGAGGCTACGGTGGGCATCTACTTTGTTTTCAAGAGCGACAAGCGGTCCCTCCGCATGATCGCGGACACGCGGGTGGCGAACATGCGGTTTCGACCTCCCGCGCACTCGGAGCTCCCGACTGCGGGGGCGTGGAGCAGCCTGGCCGTGACGGAGGGGAAGTCCCTCCATTTGGCCCATATGGACGTGGACAACGCGTTCTACAGGGTCGCCACGCCGCCCGGGCTTCGCGACCACTTCGTGCTCCCCGCGGTCGACCTCGACGTGCTGCGGGCCGAGCGGCCCGACTTGTCCGCCCAGCTGCCGGCTTGGCGGAAGGCGTCGCCACGGCTGGTCGTCTTAGCCATGGGCTGGAATTGGAGTCTCTTTCCCTGCCAGCAGATGGTGGAGACGCAGGTCCTCCGCGGCGGGCTGGAGTGGGAGCGGCTGGCTCGTGACCGGCATCCCACCACTTCGCTTGAGGAGGGGCCCGCCGCGGCTGTCTACGTCGACGGGGCCGCCGTCATCGACCTCGACTACGCGGAGACCATGGGGGCGGCGCAGCGGGCGCGGGAGTCGCTGGAGGCCGTTGGCCTGAGATGCAAGGGGCTCGAAGGCCCGTGCGCGGAGGCCACCTTCGCGGGCCTGGTGTTCGACGAGGCGAGGGGCCGCGTCGGGCTCAGCCGCCGGCGCATGTGGCGCATCCGCTTGAGTTTGATGCACGTTGCTGACCGCGGGTCGGCCACTGGCGACGAGATGCGGGTGCTCCTCGGCCACTTCACGTGGGGCGCGCTGGTGCGGCGCGAGCTGCTGTCGATCTTCTCGGCGACCTACCGCCTCGCGTCCTGGGCTGGCGGGCGGCGGCGCCGCTTGTGGAGCGCCGCGGAGGCCGAGCTCCGCATCGCCGCCGCGCTCGTAGTGTTCAGCTGCGTGGACTGCCGCCGCCAGCCCGACCCCGTGGCGCTGGCGACCGACGCCTGCGGGGCGACGGACGCCGACGCGGGAGGTTCGGCGTGGTGAGCCGCGCCTGGGGCCCGCTGGACGTCGGCCGGGCGTGCTCGCAGGCAGAGCGGTGGCGCTACCGCGTGTCAGAGGCGGTGGCAGCTCGGGCGCGCGCCCTCGGGCTTTCGGAGCGCCTGCGCGCTGCCGATTGCCTTCCGCCGCCCGTGGAAGCCAACAAAAATCCGAGTGCATGCAGTCAGGAGTCTTGCGGTTTGGCCAAGTCCACACCTCTTGCGAGGACCCGGCACCCCGTCTCGGACTTCGAGCGGACGTTCGGGGACATGTACTCTGGGACCGTCTCGTTCGAGCAGATCACCTCGGAACACGTTGGCCCCCTCGAGTCGCGGCAGCTTCGGGCCCAGGGCAGGTTCAGCAGAGCCGAGAACATCATCCGCCTTGAAGGGCACGGGGTCGTGATCGGCATTCGTCATCATCTTCGGGTGGCTTCTCGT